AGCTCATTGCGAACCGGAGTTACACCATATTTTGTGACCGTAGAGGACGGTGTTGCATGCACTGTTGCAGGTCACAGAATATGGTGTAACACCGGGTCCAATCGGCCGAACCAGAAACAGCTTCCTCTGACCTTGTTTCACAAACAAAAAGCAAAAAGTATTAATCTCTAAACCTATAAAAAAATCTATAAACATATTAACCACTAAAACTAAACCTAATGCACCACAGTTGGCAGTGGTGCGGGGTGGTCGACCCCCCACTGTTTTAAGTTTAGTTTTTGACGTGCTGCATGTTTCTTCACGTTTGCAGTTTAATAATAATAACTAATAGTTTAGTTTTTCCTGTGACTTATTTGCAGTATGATAAATGGTAGGAGCATAATATATGCTCCCAATGTTTTGTTGGTCTTTTTTTTTGTAAATAATGACCTTTTTTTGCGGTTTCATTTATTTATTTATTTTTGTATCTTTAGATCCTATGATGTCAAGTACTCGAGTTTTATTATGTTAATGTTGAGTTTTAAAATTATGTAGTCGTTCAACCCCTAGTCTAAGAACACTTAAATTGTACGGTTCTACTTGTATACTCAGTTAAATTAATAAGGACAGAGTCTTATCTCAAAACTAACAAACTGGGATCTATTCAAAGCATGCAAGAAAAATATAAAAACAATGTACCAAAAGGGAAAAATAAATAAATCTACAGCAGCATGGCAGAGTGGTTCTGATGACAGAGGTTAAAATGGTTCAGTTAGCGGCATTAGCAGGCCCTACCGATTTACTTACTATTACCTGTCAAGGCAGCATAAGCACAAAACAAATAATCCATGGTCTGTAGTCCATATACTGTTTCTACGGAGGATCAGCTGCTGAGTCTGTTTCTGGCTCTTTTGAAGGTCAGTTACAGTAAAAACAAAAAATCTAAACCAGTCCATGGGTCACACCATGTCTACCTTACATGAAAGAACCCAAACACAACAAGTTGCATTTTACTAATTTATTGAACAATTGTTTCCTTTAAACAGTGACATTACTGTCATGTTTTAAATTGTTTAAACAAACAAAAAAGAAAAATAATGTACCAAGCAGAGAACAAATAATGTTTAAAGGCGTTATTATACATTGGACGACGTCCTCAAGAAGTTCAGTGTGTGTGGTCGAGGTAACGAGCTCGTTTGGGTGAAGCATGATGTCGTGCATCTTCCCAGACTTCAGAGCTTCATTTACAGACTGGACCATTGCAGGTCTGGTGTTCCACCTCATCTCTCCACACTAGGGGTTGAGCGACTAGATAATTTTAAAACTCGACATTAACATAATAAAACTTGAGTAGAACTCGAGTAGTTGACATCATAGGATCTAAAGATGCAAAAATAAATAAATAAATAAAACCGCAAAAAAAGGTCATTATTTACAAAAAAGACCAACAAAACATTGGGAGCATATATTTTGCTCCTACCATTTATCATACTGTAAATAAGTCACAGGAAAAACTAAACTATTAGTTTTTATTATTAAACTGCAAAAGTGGGTTCCGGTTCCGCTAGCGAGAGGATGACAGCCTAATTAGTGAGCTCCCGACGGAGTTTTATAAAAACAAATCCCCCTAAGGTATTATTTTTTTTGTTAACATCATTTATATTTGTCAAGATGAAAAAGGGGGGTGGGGGTTCTTCCAGAAGCAGGAAAAATACCCATTTGTTGGAAAACAAGATTTTAATGAGCCAGGATGATCAAGGCAACTCCCTGGAGTTAAGCCGCCCAGGCGTCAACACACCTGAACCCAGCTTGCAAAGTATTCTTGATGAACTTCATGACTTCAGAAGAGAAAACAACATCCAACTGGAGGACATTAAACAAGAAATAAAGAGTGTGAATGGATGAAGTGGAGGGCAGAATAGAAGAAACGGAGATGGTGCTGCAAACAGCATCTGTATTAATTAAGAGACTGGCACAGCGCCAAGCTAAGCTGGAAGACAGACTCACAGAACAGGAGGGGCGCGCACGAAGGGAGAATCTGCGGATTTATGGGATATCTGAAGACAAGGAAGGAGCTGACATAGTTCTGTTTTTGGACAACTTGTTTAAACAAACGCTGGACCTCCCTGACGACCGGAACCTGGGAATTGAACGCACACATCGAGCACTGACTCAAAAGCCGGTGAGTGCACAGGGGAAACCCAGATCCATAGTGGTAAAGTTTGGCAGTTACCGCATAAAAGAGGAGATTCTTCAGAAAGTCTGGCAGAAAAGAGAAGTATTCTGCGATGAAACACGTTTTTTTGTTGACCATAACTTTCTCACTAACGTGTTTAGAAAACGTAATGAATATGCAGATGCCAAAAATGTTTTGGAAAGTGAACGCATCAGGTTTCAGACCCCGTATCCAGCGAAGATGCGGGTGTTTTATAATGATGGAGTCCGCCTCTACCAGGATGCAGCTGAAGTGACAAGAGATATGGCTGCTCGTGGGTTTCCAGTCACCATCATAACATCTGCAGCGGCCCCGGATCATGAAGAGATGCAGCTCCTGTCTTCATGGCAGAAGGTGAGGAGACTTGATGTGTGGAGCGACGACCAGGACCCTGGTCCAGCAGGTGACAACAGGCAGAAAAACCATCAAGCACAAATAAAGGAAAAGCTTCAGGGATTCAGAAGGTCTACAACTGAGAACTGAGGCTTCAAGGTCACACTACAAAGTCAGCTACGTTTCTTTTCTCTACTGTTGTTCTACCAGAGGTATTTAAATTTTCAGTTATCCTAATTAAGTGTTCATGGGCGGCTGTGGCTGAGTGGTTAGAGCAGTCGTCCTCCAATGCAAGAGTTGGGGGTTCGAATCCACCAGCAGTCACATGCCGAAGTGTTCCTGGGCAAGACACTGAACCCCTCATTGCCTCTGACGTGTGTCCCATCAGTGTATGAATGTGATAAAGCTCTGATTAGTCTCTTTAAAATGATTTGTTCATTGTAGAGATCTAGTATAGAGCTGTATGAATGGGTAAATGAGGCACTGATTGTAGTGTAAAGAGCTTTGAGTATCTTGAAATAAGATTGAAATGCGCTATATAAGTACAGTCCATTTCCATTTACTACCATTACCCACATGGACACTGGAAGTCCCCCAGTAGAATAAAAGAGTCCCCAGCTGGTGCACCTTCCAGCACCCGCTCTGAGGACCGCTGTTTAGTACGTAGGTGTAGGGGTTTCTTTTATGTTAGCAGACTATCTCCAGGTTAACTAAAATGCATCTGTTAGTGATGCATCATTTTCTTTCTAACTTTCTAGATGCCTGTTTTAAAGTACACAACTAAATTAAACCAAGGAACCAGCTTCCTATGACTGACCTTTTTATTTTGTTTTACAGGAGCAATTTCATCATGTGTAGTGAGTCACGTGGGTACGTGTCACTTGTTGTATGACAAATATATAAATATATATGCATACAATATTCACGAGTTCTTCATTTTTCTGACTGTAAATGCCGTGCATTGAATTTAACAGAAATGTAACGAGAGACGTTATTATCTTTGACCCATCAAATGAATGGAGTCATTTATTTTCAGAATCAAAGTTTAACATCAAACATTTACATTAATTTGGCAAAATATGAAAATAATAACAGACAGTTTCACCGAAAATGAACTTCAAATCACTCGGCGGTGATTTGAGGACTTTGCTTCAGATATTTCTAAAATATCTGTACTAGTTTTGTGAGAGAGAAAAAGTTTAAGATGAAATGGCGATTATCTTACAGAGAACTATGTGAGGGAATTTAATCTGTTTGACCAGAAATTGCACGCTCCGTCAGGTCTCAGCTTTGCCCACGGTACACTTGGTCGAAGAAGAAACCGTTACCTTGTTGACGATCGATCACCTCAGTAAGAATCCTTTTCAACTGATATCAGCGTCTCCGTTGAGAACTGCTAAAATCCTTAGAGAGTCGTGCGTGGGTCGTTCAAACAGAAATTATAATTCCAAACGTCTCTGGATCATCCTGAATTCTCGAATTCTCTTCCATTCACTTCACCATTCTCCATGAATTCTCTTCAGAGCTCCTTGAGCACTACATGAGAACTTTTCCATTCCCTTGGAACCGACTGCACACCATGGAATCTACTGCACTCTGCCAGAACCGGGAAGTTGTCACATTTTAAATGAGTTTACTTCCGAGTTTACTTCAGAGCTTTCTGATTCGTGGATGGACCAGAAAGAGGAGTGGTTTTGACGTAAGGTGTTTATCAAAAGTCGAGGTCAGAGAATGAAATTTGTTTAACAACTGACAGAGAGATTATTGCAAAAAGCAGACTTCGTGGAGCCAACTCTTAGTAATCTTCTGAAAAAGTTTAAACATGACATTTCTTCTTCAGTAAACATTTAGTTGACCGAAGCTTCAACTTTCACACACTTACGACTTGACTCATTTCAGACAGAAAATCAAGAAATGCATATTAACCTGATTTCTCCTTTGAATGAGGAATAAAAATCATTACTTACTGTTTATGTAAAATAAAAATGAGTAGTTCTTTTCAACCTGTAAAGCATTGAGTGAACTAACACAATTTGATTATCAAAACATTTGTAAGACAGTAATGATTATAGAGGACCGTCTTTTCTGCTTGATTAATTCAAGAAAGAAAGTTCATCAGATGGCCCAGACTTATTCAGATCAATGAAAATAACAGTCTCTGTCCATCTGGTAGATTTGAGGTCATCTGGTTCACTACACATGCAATATTTGCATGTAAGCTGTAAAATTATCAACAACATAATTTAATATTTTTTATCCATCCACTGACTTGTACTTTTGAGTATTATTTTTTCCACAGTTGAATAATAGTCACTTTAAGGGGGATGAATATTTATGCAATTATTTGTCATATTTTCTTTTTATTTATTTTGTATTTATAGAAATTTGATGTCACTTTGTCATGGAAGAGGATTTTTTGTAAAAAAAAAAAAATTCTTTCTTTTCTCTGTGTCATTGTTTGTTCTGTTTAAAGTTCCTCAAGTTCATCCTCCTCCGGCTCCCATTATGCGACCAACCTTTGTTCCACATATCCTGCAAAGACCTGGTAGGCTCATTGTTGCATTTTTAATTTAACTGTCTTTAACATGTTCATAATGGTAAACTACACTAATATAATTCAGTGTTTCCTACAGAATGACAATACTTAAAGTAATTGGATGTAACAGGTACATGTGCAAAAGCTACAACTATTGAAAATAATTTGAATTTATTATTGTTTGCCCTTCGGCAATGCAAAATTTGGAGGATATAAATGGGCTTTTTGGCTAAATATATTATGCAGTTTTTCACAGAGCTTTTTAAAGTTTTAAGTTTCTTACAGTGACTCTTAGATCAACTGTAGCAAAGTCTTGTTCTCTTTAGCCCCTTATCCACAGGGCCTTTTCGGTCTCCTATGTAACCAGTTTGGGCCGATTGCGTAGTTTCTCCACGGTGCCTTCAGCGGTGGAACCCGCACGATTTTTGGGACCTACTTCTCTGGGGTCCCAGGTCTGGTCCTTGTTGGGTCCAGATGTGACGTCAGCACACAGTCGGTCACTGATTGGTCAGGGGGAGGAGTCACTGGATCTTTCAGAAACTTTTCAAAACACCGATCCGCCATTTGCAATTTCTCGGACCGGAGTAGCGGCTGAACCCATTTTAAAGATTTTAAAAACAATAATGACAACACCGTGGCCTAATGCTGAAGTGCTGGCGGGGTTTTTTTTGTGCTTGCTGGCCGACGACAAAATTCAGAGCGAGCTAGATGGAGCTCCGCCAGTCTACCCGGGTCCTCTCCACCGGAGCGTTGGAAATGGGCACGGCGTCATCTCCTCGAGGTAAAAGTTATCTGTGGAAGTAAGTCAAAAGCTATACTTAACATTACGTTTTTTTGAGTCAAACTGCATAAATGGTGAAAGTCAGTTTTCTTCGAGAGCTAAGTAGTAGAGAAACTAGCTGGCCGTAGTTAGCATGTAGCTTTGTGTAGCTTCTCATCACAATATACTACCGGTAGATATTGCAGGGATATGAATTTTATGTCATATTAAACATCCCAGTATACACTGCACTTTAAAGCAAGTATGTCATGACACAAACATTCAAAACTTGAATATTACAGGGAAAAACAAAGGATAATGATGTTTAGAGGAGATTATAACAATTGATTTTTTGTTTGTCAGATGGGGATGTGAAAACAGCCAGCCAGACATATGAAGCCATCGCTGGACCACAGCATCAGGACCTGAGAGTTTGTGCCTCCAGACTACACATCAACTGCAGTGGACCAGACCTCGGAGCTTCTCCGGACGCTCTGCTCTCCTGCACCTGCTGTGGTGATGGTGTTTGGAAAATAAAATGCCCACATTGTGCCAAAGATGCTGGAGTCCTCGGTGCCTCAGTTAAGAAACATTTCTGCATTGACAAGACAAACGGGTCCTATGAACTCAGCAGAGGTCACGCAGAGGTCACGCAGGTGCACCAGGTACAAGCTCAGGTGTTTGTGACAGAGCAGGAGTACTGTGACTTCATGGTGTGGTCTGGGTCAGATTACTTTATTCAGAGGATTGTGTCTGAAGGTGAGTTCTTTACTGAAGCAGTGAAAAATGTAGAAATGTTCTATAGGTTAGTATTTTTACCTGAGCTATTGGCCATATTTTATTTTTAATTGTTACATGTTTTGGAGCAGCCAAACCAACACAGGATTAAAGCACATGGTTAAGAGTCCACTGATGATATTTTAAGATTATATTTCATACATAACTGCAGATGTAGCGATATGTTTTTCTAAAAAAACTTCAATCTGGTCCTCTGGACATACAAAAAAACAAAATAAAAGCAAAACAAAAAAATGTAGATACGTTTCGTTTTTCATCCGAGAGACTTCCTCAGTCTGAGGTGCTGTATTCAGCTCAGTCTCTTAAATAGCACCTTCTCAGAGTGGATCAACCAGTTTGCTGCTGACAACCAGAACCAGCTGATCACATGATCAAGAAGGACCATCAGCCTAACAATGGATCATTAGCACCTGATGGCTGTTTACTGTTCACAGAGGGCTGAGTGATACTAGCAATCACAGCATTGTAAGAGGGGGACAGTTGAACACAGAGTGTTATGGGGTCTCCAGTTTCTCCTATTGTTGCCAACCTGTACGTGGAGGAGGTAGAAAAGAGAGCCTTGACGTCCTTTTCAGGGACACCACCAAGTCATTGATTCAGGTATGTTGACGACACCTGGGTTAAAATCTCAGGAAGTCCAACATTTTACTGACCACATCAACTCTGTGGATAAATACATCAAGTTCACACGAGAAGATGTAAAAAATGGCAGGTTGGCTTTCTTGGACTGTGAGGTCTCAGTCTCTGATAGAGGACATTTGTAAACCGAGGTGTACCGCAAACCCACCCACACAGACCAGTATTTGCAGTTTGACTCCCATCACCCTTTGGAGCACAAGTTAGGAGTCATCAGGACTCTGTACCACAGAGCAGACAGTGTCTCCACTAACTCAGGAGCCAGGCAGAAGGAGAAATCCTACACAAGACAGGCTCTAGAGCAATGTGGATATCCTAACTGGGCCTTCCTGAAAGCAGAGAAGAAACCCAAACAGGACTCCAGTCAGTCATCAGGTGAAAAGGAGGAACCCAGACCAGTGGTCATTCCAGATGTTGAGGGAGTATCAGAGAAACTGAGACGTTTATTTTCTAAACACATCGTCCAAGTGGCTTTTAAACCCCAAAATACATTAAAGACTGGTTCATCCCAAAGATCCGGTCCCCCGGCACAAACAGAGTAATATTGTGTATGCTGTTCAGTGTCAGGAGGGTGATCTGTCTTACATCTGGGAAACAAAACAGCCACTGGCCAAAAGGATGGACCAGCACAGAAGATCAACATCATCAGGCCAGGACTCTGCGGTCTACACTCATCTCCAGGCCAGAGGTCACTCTTTCAGGGATGAAGATGTTCACATCCTGGACAGAGAGGAACGATGGTTTGAGAGAGGAGTAAAGGAGGCCATCTTTGTGAAAAGAAACCGTCCATCATTAAACAGGGGTGGAGGCCTCCGGGTTCAACTGTCCCCCTCTTACAATGCTGTGATTGCTAGTATCACTCAGCCCTCTGTGAATAGTAAACAGCCATCAGGTGCTAATGATCCATTGTTAGGCTGATGGTCCTTCTTGAGCATGTGATCAGCTGGTTTTGGTTGTCAGCAGCAAACTGGTTGATCCACTCTGAGAAGGTGCTATTTAAGAGACTGAGCTGAATACAGCTCCTCAGACTGAGGAAGTTTTTCGGATTAGAGACGAAACGTTTCTACATTTTTTTTTGCTTTGTTTTGTTTTTTGAATGTCCAGAGGACCAGATTGAACTTTTTTGGATTTTTCTACCTGGATTATTGAGCATGCATCAGGATATCTGAAGAATAGGTGCAAAGAGAATAACCTTCACATCAAAGGAGATGACTGTGGACTTCAGAAGGAACAAACACACCTACACCCCCCTGAACATAAGAGGATCTGTGGTGGAAGTGTTCTCCAGCTACAAGTACTTGGGTGTGCACCTGAACAACAACCTCAGCTGGAGCAACAACACCACCAGCCTGATGAAGAAAGCTCATCAGAGACTCTACTTCCTCAGACGGCTGAGACGAGCTGGTCTGGGAAGCTCAGTCCTCACCTCCTTCTACAGGTGTGCAGTGGAGAGCATACTGTGCTCCAGCATCAACGTGTGGCATGGAGGCTGCACAGCTGCAGAAAGAAAAGCTTTGCAGAGAGTGGTGAATGTTAGTCAATCTCCCCACCATCACAGACGTCTACACCTCCAGATGCAGGAAGAGGACCACCTGCATCATGAAGGACCACACTCACCCAGCACACACACATTTTGCCCCTCTCCCCTTAGGAAGGAGTTTGAGGAGCATTAAGTGTAGAACCACTAGACTGAGGAACAGCTTCTACCTTGAGGCTGTTAGACTCATGAATCTCTAACCATGATAATCACTGTGAAAAATTACATTGTGTTGCTGCTGATCTGTTTCATGTTGCTGCTGATCAGTTTCAATGTTGACTTGTTCATGCGTGCTCATCTGCTCACACAGACTCATGGTTATGTTCGTGCTGCTGTTCGACAAAACGTTTTTATGCTATTTGTGCTTAGTGTATTTTAGTTGATGTTTTTCTTAGTTTATATCTTAGATGTTATCATTGTTTTTCTTTTACATTTTATTGTTGGATGTAACTGGGACCCTGTGTACATAATTTCATCCCACCACATGTACCACATGTGGTGCGAACGACAATACAGAATCTCTGTCTCTGACTCTCTCTGACTCTGATAATCTTTTGTTAATAAAATTTAATGAGTGAAAAAAATAACCAAAACAGTACACACGTGGACCGACTCGATCATGAAACGGTTCTATACACCCACATGTAGTGTTACACCACTAATGGATGGATAAAAATAATCAGGCCCAAGCAGCGAAGCACTGCGAAGGCCTATTGTAATCGCTCTGTTTAGGCCCAAGCTGCAATTTTTTCAGCCAAGTGAATTGGCGTTTTGGGGGCCGTAACATATCCCAAAAGTCACCAAATTTGGCAGACGCATCAGAATTGGTGAAAAATTACGTATTTTAAGAGTGTGGCAAAAATCGCAATAAATGGCTCAAGAGCGCCACCTGGAAATGTTCATAATACCCTCCACATTAACCTTAGTTTGTCGTAGAAGCATGAAATTTGGTACACTTGTCCAATTCCCAAAGATGCACAGAAAACCCTCTGGCACCAACTTTGTACGATAAACAGGAAGGCAGCCATTTTGGAATGCCGCCCAATTTTAACACGTTTTTGGCAGTTTACAGCCTCCACATTTGAACAAACTCCTCCTATGGATTTCGCTCAATCGGTTTCAAACTTGGCCATTTTGGTCAAAAGGCATGGTGGACGCAAAGGTATCTAAACGGTTTGTTTCGGAGCATGCTGAAGGGGTGGGGCCAGACCTCAAAATTTGACATCTTGCCATGAAAAATAAAACGCTAATAACTCCTACACGAAAACTGTCTGTGAC